TCAGCGGAACACGATAGTCGAGAAGGTCCCTGCGGTACTTCTTTAGACTTCCCCTTCCTTGCGCTGCTTCTAAAAGTTTCAACTGCCTGTACTTTCGGAGATCTTGCAAAGCTGTTCTGCAAATGTTATTGGCTACCAGTCGCTCGAGATGTGATGCATTTGGATCCGGCCTCAATGCTCTCCTCCCCACTGATAGATGCTTGGTGGATTTCGAAATTCGTTCCAAGTTCCTTGTTTGAGGCATTGAGGCACTTACATCAAAGGCCCTCTGTCTTCTGAAAAGCAGGTCGTAGTCCTGTTGTGTCTTTCTTGATGGGCCAGTCGCAAGTGGTCAAGAGCTCCTCCAATCTAACGTCAAACACGACTTCTCTCCTTCCTCCAACACGGTGAGAAATCTTCTTATCAAGCTTTCGGCTGAATCGCACTTGTGCTCGAAGGAGACGGTGATCTGAACCACTGCTGGAGTATGGTAACACTGAGACGTCCAGTAAGCGCCACCTTCAGTTGGCAAGAGTGTGGTTGATCTATCGGCGTACCGTTAGGCGATTCCCATGTTCACTGCTATTGTTCTTCTTGGAGATGGAATTGCCATGAAAGTCGTGCGGCGGATAAGAGCCCAACAATACGGATACCATTTCCATTCCTGATCCAAATCTCCCGTTTCTATGCTCCCCTTCTTCTGACATCCCGATTTTCGCAAGAAGTCACCCATGATAAGTTTTTAGAAGGACTTCTCTTTGCGGATGACTCGCTCCACTTCATAAAAAGCACCAAGTTCCGAGCCATCAGCTGCTGATGCTGGAGAATAGCAGTTGATGATAGCGATGGTTTTCTGATGCAGAGGACGGATTCGAAGGATAATCAGGCGGGGTGATAGAATTTCATGCGAGATCGACGAGATGGACAAAAATGGGTGTACGACAAATCCAACGCCTTTAACGTTCCGTGACAGAACTTTCTCACCACGAATAATGAGCGTGCCATAATTCAGCTGCTCACGTCCATCTTCCTGGACTTTGTTTCCTGCAAGGCGATTACTTGGTAGTTGATGCACCCTGCAGCTT